TATACATGTAGCCAAGAGTGTGCTCATAGCGTTAGCCTTTTGCCGTCAGAAAGTATTTTGACCCTATTTTGAGATATGGTGTCCGAAAAGTAGGTCAAAATAAAAAGTTCTCCAAATTTAATGTTTGAGTTATGAATTAAGAATAGAATTTTCTCAGAAATCCGAATCTTCAAAATAAATTTCAATCCGACTTCCGGTTCCAAAGTTATGGCGTGTCCGAAAAGTAGGTCAAAATAAAAATTCGCCAAATTTAACGAATGGGTTATGAATTAGGGGTAGAATTTTGTCAGGAATCCGAGTCTGTAAATTAAATTTCGATCCGACTTCCAGTTCGGAAGTTATGGCGTTTTGAAATTTCAAGAAAAATCGATCTGATGGTATCCTGATAGAAAGTCAAGAGTAGAGAAGAAAATGTTGAAAAATGCATCCATCCTTCCTTTCTGATCCTATCCTATCCTTCCTATCTACCCTTGCTTCGTATCCTCTCCTTCCTATCCTTCCTATTCTATCCCTTCTTCCTATTCTATTCTATCCTTCTTTCCTATTCTATCCTATCGTTCCTTCCTATTCTATCCTATCCTTCCTTCCTTTTTCATCCATCCATCCATCAATCTTTTGCTGGATGACTTAGCTTATTTTGGATGACTTGGCTTATTCTGGATGACTCGGCTAAAAAAAAGTCTAGATCTGGAGTCTGAAATTGAACTCGTTCAATTTCCAAAATCTAGTTATTGTTCTACCCACGTTTTTTCCTTAACTAGAAGACATTGAGTCAAGTCCTGTATATGGTCAATTTAGGTCCAGGATCTAGTTTCTCGGAAATTGGGTCAATTTTTTATCTAGGTCAAAGGTCAAGAACTAGGTCAAATCCAGTACTTTGTCACTTTTTTTGATTTTCTCGGTCGTCCTTCAATATTTTCGATCCAGGTTTTTTTCATTGTGTTCCTCATAAAAAAGTAGGAAAGCTAGGGTCGATTTAGTTTTTTGATATCTCGAACCTATTTCGAGATATCAGTGTCCGAAAACGAGGTCCAAAAAAAAGTTCTCCGAATCCAATGTCCAGGATATCAGTCTTATAGGAATTTGTCTCAGGATTCCGAATCTGAAAACCAAATTGAAATCCGACTTCCGGTTCAGGAGTTATGACGTTTTGAAAGTTCGAGAAAAATCGATCTGATGGTACCCTTATAGAATGTCAAGAAAGGTGAAAAAAAATTGAAAAAATACCAGTCCAGTCCATTTTCAGGTCCAAGTCCAGGTCCAGTCAAGGTCCAATTCCAGTGTTTGACCAGGGCCAAGTCAAGTCTAGGTCTAAATCCAGTCCAGGGCCTAGGTCAAAATCTAGGTCAAATACAAAGTTTTTCCTTATTTTTGCGATTCTGACACTAAATTCAATAATATTCTTCGAAATTGTGTATACATGTAGCCAAGAGTGTGCTTATAGTGTTAGCCTTTTGCCGTCATAAAGTATTTTGACCCACTTTTGAGATATGGTGTCCGAAAAGTAGGTCAAAATAAAAAGTTCTCCAAATTTAACGTATGAGTTATGCATTAGGGGTAGAATTTTGTCAGGAATCCGAATCTGTAAACCAAATTTCGATCCGACTTCCGTTTCGGAAGTTATGTCGTTTTAAAAGCTCAAAAATAGCTAAATTTGGTGCCCTTGTTAAGTCAATGGGAAAAAAAGATTTTTTTGAAGTGAAAAATACGAAATATAGACTGATTTCAGCTTAATTTAATGAAAGCCTTTAAAAGAAGGGGACCTCAAAAGCCATCTAGCTTCAAAATTTGGGCACCAAAATACCTAGGTCAAAATCTAGGTCAAATCCAAAGGTTTTCCTTATTTTTGCGATTCTGACACTACACTTTAATTATATTCCTCGAAATTGTGTCTACATGTAGCCAAGAGTGTGCTAATAGCGTCAGCCTTTTGCCGTCAGGAAGTATTTTGACCCACTTTTGAGATATGGTGTCCGAAAAGTAGGTCAAAATAAAAAGTTCTCCAAATTTAACGCTTGAGTTATGAAGTAGGGGTAGAATTTTCTCAGAAATCCGAATCTTAAAACCAAATTACGATCCGACCCCTGGTTCCGAAGTTATGGCGTGTCCGAAAAGTAGGTCAAAATAAGAATTCACCAAATTTAACATATGAGTTATGAAATAGGGGTAGAATTTTGTCAGGAATCTGAATCTACAAATCAAATTTCGATCCCACTTTCAGTTCGGAAGTTATGGCGTTTTGAAATTTTGGAAAACTCGATCTGATGGTATCCTGATAGAAAGTCAAGAGTAGAGAAGAAAATATTGAAAAATTCATCCATCCTTCCTATCTGATCCTATCCTATCCTTCCTATCTATCCTTCCTTCGTATCTTTTCCTTCCTATCCTATCCTTTTTTCCTATTCTATTCTATCCTATCCTTCTTTCTTATTCAATCCTATCGTTCCTTCCTATTCTATCCTATCCTACCTTCCTAATTATCCATCCATCTTTTTCTGGATGACTCAGCTTATTCTGGATGACTCGGCTTATTCTTGATGACTCGGCTAAAAAGGTCTGAATCTGGAGTCTGAAATTGAACTCGTTCAATTTCCAAAGTCTAGTTATATTTCTACTAGCCTTTTTCAATCATCTATAGATATAACTCCTGACTTTGAATATCTCTCACCATTATGAAATTGTTATACTTCATCATGATGTGCCCCACTTAATTATGTCTTTCAGCAAAACTGTCGAATATTCTCCAAAGTCACTCCACCACGCGAGGATGCCTTGTTCAATTTTACCCAGCATGACTCGGTGGCAGTGACGTACATCGTCACATGCATTGATAATGCATCGTGTGCGGCATTGCTTTCCATGTAATCGGAGAAAAAGAAATCTTGGACAGTTAAAGCGTAGCTGGTTTACAATCTGAACCTCTGTGTACATAAAAATGAGGCTATTCCACTAGTACTAGAGGTGTGCACTGTTGGCAAATCACTTAATCGATCAACAAAGTATTTTAATCGATTAATCATTCTAACATAAATGATGGAGATTTGACATAATTTCCTGAGAATTTTCCAATTCTTTAATAGTAAGCGATAATTCATTCGTTTTGATTGCATACCTCTATTGAACACAAAAACAACAAACTAAAGGTAAGTGTAGGGTAATAAGCTTGTTTGGCAGTTTGAGTTTTAAGCTTGGCATGTCAATCTGACAAATTAGGTCTCAATCAGTCAGTGATGTCATGTAAGCTTACTCACGGCAGGATATTGAAGATTATCTTTTTGAGAATCGGTTAATTGAGTATTA